GTGCCATGCAGAACTGAACGCCATCATGAACAAGAACAGCGCTGATGTGAAAGGATGCACAATGTATGTGGCTTTGTTCCCATGCAATGAGTGTGCTAAACTCATCATCCAAGCAGGTGATTGTTGGGACCACACAGCTAAAATAATCTCATTATTAGGACGCCTTATAAGAGCCTTTTATTGTTTTTACTTTTGGGGTTGTTTAAAGAGCAAATTTCACTTCATAGTGTCTGTTGATTGTAGGACTGCAACTAACGATTATTTTAATAATTGGTTATTAAAATAAATGGACTCCTTGCAGATTTTGTATTTCATATTTATACACTCTTGGAAATATATTAAAAATGCAAATCAACAAATGATTCAGTGCCTTTCTTAAATAAGAAAAATCTTATTACCTAAAATTTAATAACACAGCATTCCTTTAGTGAATTTGAACTGAATGAAGGTAAATCTGCCCCCTGATGAGCTGGGGGTAAAACATATTTTCGACAAAGGTGTTTTTGTCTTAAATTAGCAAAATGTGCTTACATTTTCTGCAGTTTTGGCTTAATTACTGCTCCAAAAATGTTGGTTTTCAGCAAATGATTTTTTTTCTTTAAGTCTGCATACTCCAGTTATGAATAATTGATTAATAAATTAGTTGATCATTTCAATAATCGAATAATCCGATTAATTATTTCAGCTCTAGTTGATTGCTGTAAAACCTTAAAGTGTTTTCAGACTAACGCTTCTTTCATATCTGCTGTATAACCTCTGATTGGTTCCTGTGGAAATCTGGCCACGTATCAGTCTGTCTTGTCTGTTTGGAAAATATTCTTTGAAATTTAGAACTTATAAACTAACAAAAACTCTTCAGCAGGGCAACAACTAAAATCTGCAAAGTTGCACCTCAGCTGTCTGCTGTAAATCTGATCTGGGTCGAACGTCGTTTAACATGAGCTGATGCATCTACATGTTTAATAGCTAAAATCGGTTCCGTGTCTCTGCTGCTCTCCCTCCAGGTCTTAAAGAAGTTGTGTATCTTTCGGACAAGTACCATGATAAGCCTGAGATGGTTGCTTCCAGAAGGCTGCTCAGCATGGCTGGAGTACAGTTCAGGTAGATCACAAACACTGTTGGTTTCCTGCTTTATTTATTCATCCACGTGTGATGAGGGGAAATTGAGCTCACTCAGGTGTTTCTGGAGGTTTAGTAGGTTGAGCTCCTTGTTTAGAAAAGTCTAGAGACCAGTATTAATCAGTTTTTAAAAATAAAATGTATTTGACTTTTATTAAAAAGCCTTTTCTGATGTCCAATGCAGATTTTTTTCTCTCCACTTTTTCTGTCTGAAAAGTTGCTGCATGTAGTGACAAAGTTGCTAAGTTGGCAACAGTGGGGTGACTGTTTTTAACCCCACTGTGGATAAGTGACCTGGTGGGCAGGTCCGTCTGTCAGCCACTGCAGATCAAAATGTAAAAGTGGCTGATTTTCAGACCTTTTGGTTTATCATGATCACCAACAATTAAGGAAATCGGGGCAGAAATAAAAAACAAAATAGTAACTATTAGTTTCACAACTTGGATGTAAACGAAGTTAATCTGATCATACAAGCTCAAAAAGTGGTAAAAATAACATCTCCACCCTCCCACCGATGTGTTCTTAATTGATGGGAGGGTTTAATAGTTCCCAAAATAATTTCTAAATATTTGAATTATTTACAGATTTAAGTTCCAAATTAGCTTAAGTATATTCTAAATGCGCTACAAAAACACAAAAGTATTTTTAGTCTAGTTTCTAGTCCAAATATCTTAGTTTTATCTTATTTACTAACTTACAGGTAACTTTTCAGTGAGATAGAGGATCTTGTTTTAAGTAAATAACTTCACTCATAATATTGGAAAAATGTCTTGTTGTAAGTGAAATAATCATGAAGTTATACAGGTTTTTGTCCAATCTGGTCTCCAGATCTGTGCACATATTTGATTGCAAATGTTAGCCTTTTATTAGATCGGAGAAGTTTCTCTCTCTGTCTAGAAGCTGCTCAGCTCTCGTTGACAGAGCGTCGACTCGAATGAACCGATTCCATCGTGAGTCAGGAGCCATGGCAGGAAATCTGATTGGAAAGGATTGACCTTTACCCTCTCGACATGCCCTGCTAGTGTTGTGTGCATCATCAACTCGTCTGTGTGATTTGACCTTCAGTTTTTCCACCGTGTTTTGACAGGCAGTTCAAGCCCAAGAGTTCTGAGATTGTTATTGATTTTAATTCCATTAACCACCGGGGAAACGCTGGACTCCACCAGTGAGGAGAGCAGCTGAGCCAAGCAGACGGAGAAACACCAGATTCTGCCGCCGCTTCCATGAATAACTCCTGAACACATTGGTGTTCAGCAGGGAAGTAGTTTAATCCTCATGGTTTGGAAAATAGCACTATTTAGCGTGAGCATTGTTTTTTTTTTTTTTTTTAACCTTTAATGATTTTTTTCGTGTACATTTGAAACCTTACTGTAGCTTTATTTTTTTTATTGGTTGTAAATACTCTTGGTGCTGGATATCATTGCTACTGTGCATCACTCTGGATTGTTACGGATGTGGAAATCCCCCTGTGGTGTTTGCCACCATTTTATTAGTTTGCTTACATTTTAGACCCGACATGCTAAGAAGAGGCTTGTTTAAAAACACACACACACAAAAATATGTGAGTTAATGACATTTTTTGTTACGCCGACAGTCATTGACAGCTAATCAGATGCACACCATTGAATTTGTATTCTTATTAATGAGGAGGGAAGGCAGATGTTTACACTGTCCCTCCTTCTACTGTGGCAGCCATCTGCCTCCCAGTGCAATAAAAGTGAGATGACAAAAGCTTAATGACTTAATGCTTTTTATTCTTTAAAAAGCATGTTCACAGTTTGCATAATTCCATAGATGAACAAAAAGCTGTTTTTTGTAAAGACGGCTTACAATTAGCACAACTCCCCACCTAGCTACATGTGGTTTTAATGGGATGTTACCTCTCTGCATACCTGGTGATGTATGATCATATTCAATTTTGATAAAATGTATTGGGGTTGGTGTATGGGGGAATTTTTCTGCCATAATTGGAGAGGACGCATTTTTAATTTGAAAGCAGGATTTCATGTCTCTAGTTCTCAAAACCTTTAGTACTTGTGCTTACAGTTTCAATTTGAAAGCATGATGTTGCCTCGTAATGTAGAGAGCAACATCTAGTGGGCGGTGCAGGTTACTGCAATCTTCAGTAGCCACACAGGCACAACCTTTCGAAGGAAACAAAAAAATCCAGTATAACACTTTAATTCTATTGGCTGACAGGTTGCCAGGGACTGTTCTCTTCTGAGAGAGCAGAAAATGATTTGTAAGGGAGCAGAAGTGTGCAAGATTTGATACGATTACACAAGTTTTGAGCGTGAGGAGAAAAGTTTGAGAGCACAGTGAATATTTGAAAGAGCAGAAGTTCAGAGTACAAGTTTTGAGGAGAGACATTAAGTTCTGCTTTCAAACTGAAAAACAGGACTTTAAAAGTTTTGAGAACAAAAGATATGAAATCCTGCTTTCAGAGTGAAAACTTTGGTTTTACTCCACCAAGTAAAACTTGGTCTGTTGGAGAATAATTCTTGACAGGAATTAGTTTTTTGTTATGCCCATTTCCTTTTTATTTTGTTTTGATGAAATGGGAATCTTTGACCTTCATTTGGATTCTTCGTCACGGATGAGCGTTTACTAGCTGTGCGTGTTAATTTTACACCAGGAGGGTGTGAAGTTGTTTGAATGGTGAGATGGGTGGAAAGCTTGCAGCACTTGGCGCTCCCAGAAACAGCAGCAGCCCCAGGCCAAGGAGGAACCCAACACTCCCAGTCCAATCTCTGAATCCAGTCGCCATGGAGCAGCTGTTCAATGGTTCTAGTCCTGATTCTGGTTGAGGTTTAAATATCCAAACCATAGCACAAATAACTGTATACATTTAATGTCTTCTTTTACATTTTGTATGTTCCAAATAAATGTAATTTCACTGTATCATTTCTGACACAAATTAGCAGAATAAATGCATAAAAGGGGTTTGAATTTGAACTTTATTTTAACGTTTCATGTTGATTTGTTGTAATTACAATCAAAACTAAATCAATTACTGCCAGTTAAAGGAAGACACCAAAACAACAGGAGTTTTAAAGATTTTTATTCTTTACCGTAGAAACACTGTACATAAATTACTTCCTCTGAGACTAATATCGATGTACGGATAAATGGAATTTCTCAACTTTCAACATAAAGTTAAATCAACAAAACACGTCGACTTGTCTTGTCTGAAAAGAAACCCTTTGCAGCGTACGATGTTAACTCTGTTTCCTTTGAAATGTTTAAAGTTGCCTTCCAACCTTTGTACAGACATGTACACAGAAAAAATCTCTAAGAGACCAGAGACCTACAATCAATGAGAAAACAGCCACATCGATTTTTGATCTATTACTGTTACTTATGTCATTCATGAAGATGCACTGTCCCTTTAAGAAAAACGAGCAAAAACAACGAGAGAAGCAACAGTCTGTCGCTAAACACAGCAACCCAGCTGCCCCCCCGCCCCACCAAGCCATGACAACAAGTTTCTACTGCAAGCAGCACTACTACCTTTGACTGACGAAATCACAAGGTCTATGCATTATGAAGCAGTCACAATTTGGAGAAGAAAAGGACTCTTTTGGGTCTTCCTGGTCGACACAGACTGTGTGAACTGTGATCACCTTACCTCTGCACACTGAGGTTTGCTTTCCAAGCCTTGGATTAGCACAAGGGATGAGGAGTGCTTGTAGAAATGACCAAACAGATCTTAGCTATCAGTAGGAGGAAAAAAAAATACAATGCAACATTTGGTTTTTGATAAGTTCTTCTCATGATCTGTTGTGGTGGTGGGGTGTGGGTATAGTAGTAATAGTGCGATACATGTAGGTAATAGGATGTAAACGCTTTTCTGTTGATTTTAATATCCCTTTTTTTCTCTGAAGCAAATGCAAGTTTATATAGAAAATCGAAACCAAAAATTACAAACAAACAACAAAAAAAGTCTTTTTTTTTTAACTTGTACAAATTTCAGTCCTTTTTTGTGCCTGTCTCTCTTAGAGAGAGTCCACAACAGTTCCATTCAATGGCTTCAGCCATGGAATAATAAATCCTATAGACAAGGCTCAAACCGGAGTGATGGGGCCCATCTGGACCCTCAGACATATGGTACCCGCAACATCTGTTAGGGATGCACAGGGCTGCTTAACTGCTTCGGACGGCTGCTCGCACACCAAGCTGCCTATCTGAACCAGTCTCTGTGTTTCCCTCCGTTATCCAAAGTCTCTGTTTAACAGGTAGGCAGCTCGCAGATATGGCAGTCAGGTTAGCCTGGCCTGTCGGAGGGAAGTGGAAAGGCATGCGTGCAGCCTGTCTAAAAGCACGAGAGGGAACAGAAAACGGAGGGCGTTGAAGAACCTTTCCCAGGTGCATGAGGACAGTCACAGCTGTAGCTTCAGGTCAAAGCGAAATCTAAGGGGGTCAGTGGGCAGTTGTTGCCGTCTTAGTTCAATCTGTGACATCCATTTAGTGTTAAAACAGAACTTTTTTTAGTGTTAGTCTTTGACAGTCAGAGGTGGAACCATCTGGACGCGTTCACGCCGTGTTACCTCCTCCCTATCTCACTCTGCCGGAGGAACTGGATGTTGTTGGCGCTGTCGGCCAGTTCGGGATACTGCTCGATGGACAGGACGTAGTAGCCGTCGTAGCCCTGAACCTTCCCACTGCTCAGCAGCTGCCTTTTCTCTCCCTCCGTCCACAGTCTTACGCCTTCCTCCCCGTCTCTCACTCGCTGCTGTTCACGTGCCCAGGCGCTCGACAGCGCCCTCTGCCGTGCCTGCTCCAAGATTCGCGTCTTCTCTTCGTCCAGCGTCGTCCCGTAGCGCACGTGGAGGACCAGGGCACCGTACTGCAGTTCTACGTCGGCGAAGCGCCGCGTTCTGCCGTTCATCACGGTTGTAGACTGGGACACTGTGACATTCACGCCGTTTTCCAGTGACTTCCTGCCTGAGGTGAGGCGCAGGGCGCTCAGGTCATTCTCAGGAAGGCTGGTCTTGATGAAGTAGTGAGTGTCTCGTCCCTCAACAGTGAAATGCAAGTTCTCCAGGTAGAAGGCGTTGTTCAGGACTCCAGCCACTTTGATGCAGTCCTCGCTGGCAATGTTCAGAGCATTTGTCACAACTCGTCCTTGCACCACAGCGAACATGACGCCCTTTCCAATCAGCGACTTGACGGTGGCGAACCACAGCCAGGGCTTGGTGTGGTCGGAGTGCCGTCGGCTGGGCTGGATTTCCGGCATGCGCTCGAAGGACAGGAAGGCGGATGACTGGCGAGTTACTTCCTGTTGCACACCTGAGATGGACTGCAGAGAAGCAACAAGGAGACATCACAACATGTCCAGTGCCTTAAAACACAAACAGCCACCAACGTGCCTTGCAGAAAGATTTATACTCATGTACATTACTTCACCGTCTGCCATAGTGCAAAATCCAACTTCCATGTATTTTGTTGGGATTTTATATGACAGACCAGGGTTGTCCAAACTTTGATAAGTATTAAATTAAGTTTGATAAATTAAGTAAAAGCTGATTTGCATGCAGCAAAGTTGGTTTCTCAGTAAAAGTCTCTGGGTAGACGTGGTTCTACTCATAAAAACATAAAAGATTATAAAAACAAATACTTTGTGTTGCACTAAACATTTTCCATTATAAGAAGTTTATGTCAATGGTATTTTACTGTAACTACAAAAAAATGTCTTCATAATACACAAAATCAGTGCAAGGGCCACAAATGGTCCCTGTTAAAAACCTTTTACTTGGCCAGGCTTTACGGGCAGTCACCCAGGGCTTCAGGTTTTGGGGGCGAGTGCAAAACAAAAAATGTTTCTGTTGTATACTATGCATTTTTTATAAACACTGTATCTCATATTAAAGTTAAGGGCTCATTTTGGATGTGTTGCTTTATTAAAATATTGAATTTTTATTAATTAAAAAAACACTCAAATATTTGAAAAGGATCATTTTTTTGGGACCAACATGGAAACCATCTGCAAACCAACCATCTTTCAATTTTGACCCTGCAAATGTGCAGCCCTACTTATTATTGTTCTGTAATTTTCATGAGAAAATGATTTTCTTTTCTGGCATCGGGCACCAGAACTGACTCCATCCAGCCCAGGGGCCTTTACTCTTCTAAATCCGGCCATGACTGTTTATATAAAAGCCTGTTTCATTATTCGTTAAGCTGATTATTAGTTGTATTTCTTAAAATTAAAATGTGTATGTTTTATTTTTGACTGCTGGGGGTTGTAACATATTGCAGCTCCTCCAGAGGAGAGCATTAAACTGTACAATGCTAATACATAGTACATGTGGTCTGCTCTGTAAACCATCTTTTCTGCACGTGTGTGTCTGTATTAGTTGGCTCAGCTGGTCAACACGCCCGCAGCTTCTGAAGGTCTCTGGAAAAAAATGATTCCTCACTTCAGATAACACTTTAAATTGCTCTGAGCCTTTCTGACTCCCTTCCTCACCTTCTCTGATCCTCTACTTACCCTTCTCTCCTACCCTTCTTATTATTTGCGACTCTGTCTTGATTCAAACTCTCTTTTTGGGCTGAAGCTGAACACACTGTTTGAGTAGAAGTGCGGCTGCTTGATAGTCTGTCCAATATAATTACCCCAGTAACAGAGTGGGTGTAGGAGAAGAGAAAGGAGCAGAAAATAAGGTTGCGATGGGAGTGACTGGCTTCACTTGATCACGCTTTCCTATCTCTGCCAGTGTTTTCCTCTGTCATTGTTCACAGAGCTTTGTCTTTATTGTCAGTGCCGTCGTGGGTCTGTTGTTGTAACAGGTGCTGACAGAATAGCTGCGTTTTAATCTCCACAGAGAGCATTTAGTATTAAAGCTTTGAATTTTACAGCTGACAGACATATTACAACATCATAACATCAATTGGTAATTTTTAGACATAAAAATAAAGTAGTACATTCAGCATGTCCAACTATCTGTGTCCAACTGTCCATACAGAGTAAAGATGTAATGTTGCAGTTTGGCATCAAGACATCACAGGTGAAGTCATTCTTTCTGTCATTTCTTTGTGACTCTGAACTAATGCGATGTGAAAAATTACTGAATGATGAAACAATTTCCTAAGTCAAATTGGAATGTATATAATCATCTCTCAATCTGTCTGAACAATCAGGCTCAATTTATTATATTTTACTGCATCTGTTGGTCTTGTAAAGAGCTATGAGGCAACAGTTGCTGTGACTGAAATAAACATAAACTTCATAAGTTGCATAAGTGTGTGCACCTTTAAACAAATACAATGATTTACTTACAGCATTCAGTCTTCTTGCGTACACACCTGACATCAGCAATGAATTTAATTAACTATAAATAAAATATCTTAAGCCACAGTTTGCAGAGAGGTGATAAAAGATCTCACTCAGCAAATTAAACCGTCCACATTACTATATATACTATGGTATTGTGGATTCAGTCATCAGTGGCAGATTATCTAAAGCAGGGGTGTCAAACTCCAGTCCTCAAGGGCCGCTGTCCTGCAACTTTTAGATGTGCCTCTGCTGCACCACACCTGAAAATAATAATTAGGTCACTAGCAAGGCTCAGGAGAACCGATCTACACAGGGAGGAGGTAATTAAGCCATTTCATTCCACTGTTTTTTACCTGTGGCACATCTAAACACTGCAGGACAACGGCCCTTGAGGACTGGAGTTTGACACCCCTGATCTAAAGCATTGTAGTTAAAATGAATAAGAATACACACAGGCAGGTCGTCCCAAAGCTGGCTCTTTTTCATCTCCAGGGACGGCTCCGTCAGGTCGAATTTGGGAATAGGGAATCCTGGGATAGCGTTATGAAGATGGAAGCCGAAGGTGACCAACCAGATGTTGACATCTGCAGAAAAACAGGCAGTGAAATAAAAGACAAAAAAAACAAAGAGGGAGTTAAAGAACCCAGTAAATATCAGTTATACTTGGAACTGGGAACTGTAGTAAAGTGTGGTGGAAACGTGTTAATTTTACAAGACACACATGTAAGAGTGCGTCTAAAATCAACGTTACATGTAGCACCTGCAACTCTAAACTGAATAAATGGAAATTGGTGTTTGCTTGTGGAAAATTAAAATTAAAATGATGTTTGCATGAACAGTCGTAAACTACGTTTATGGGCTTTGCCATGTTGAATTGCAGACTTCTTAACCAGAATGTTTGGCATCAAGTCCAGCAGAGTTCCCATTTCCCAGGTAACTGGAACGCAGCATTTTCTGTGACTGCTGTTCTGGTTTCAAATAAAAGTAAAAAAATCCTGCTTTGCTGGTGTAGCAGAACGCTGGCTTATTATTTAACTTATTGCATGACATTTTTCCCATGTTATGAGTGAAGTAATCTGCTATTGGAACTAGTACTTTTTCATCAATATCCAGGAGTTATTGACTTAAAACAAGCAGCTACACCTTGCATAAAAATTACTTATAAGTTAGGTTTGTCTTATTTGAAGTGTACAAAAATATTTGCACCAGAATATGGACCAAGTATACTTGGTAAGGTTTTGTGTCTTTGCAGTGAATGGGGCAAGATTGAACTTATTACCTGTAACATACTCTTTGACCTGATGAATCTTGCTTACGGGGTTGTTCCCTCTGAACATATACAAGTTAAAAGGCTGAGGGTCTTTCCCCACACGCGTCCATGTGCTGATGTCTGGAGTGGTCCACCTTCAGGAGAAGAAGAAACAACAAACCGAGGCACCTGATCAGGTGTGACGCTGACAAAGCACACAGCGAGTGTCTGCATGCAATCGTATGCCATGCTTGGACTAGAAATGAGCGAATAAGAGACAGACGGTCTACCTCCCAGCGGGGATGTCATAATCTCTGTCTCCAAAATGCAGCAGTCGTGTCAGAGGATCGTACAGGCCGCCGTGGAAACCGATCACAAGGACGAAGTCGGGGTTGGAGTCAAAGTAGACCTCCCCGTATGCTGTGTATTGTACCTGCAAACACACACGTTTACTAACTCATAACACACAAAACCATTTCAGGAACAGATGACATGCCCAGCTGCTTTCTTCCTGCGGTTGATGAGGAAACAGTCGTACCTGTTTAAGGAGCAGGCCGTTGTTGCTGAAGACCGCCAGCGGAGTCCCGGTGTTATCACACGCAATATAAAACTCCTCTCCGCTGCTGATTTCCATGGCAAACACGTGACCCTGCGCAACCACACACGGCACACTTACATTCATTAAAGCTAAGAGAGGATTTATACCGGTAATTTCTATCATTACAGCAGAACAACTCTTTGTAATATACAACAGGGCTTTAAAAAATGATACAATCATCATCATTATATTGTTTTTTCTGTGTTGTGCTGCTGAAGCCTCCCAGACTCACCTGTTCATTCACTTGTGAGCGCTGTGGGAGAAGCTTGATTTAAAAACACACACACACACACACACAAGCCTAACGTCATGGGAGATCCTCAGCTCCCAGACATAAGTAATATTTCCAAATTCGCTCTAAATGAGGAAAGCTTTATTTGTTTGAAGTGGAAGGCAGAGCGAGAGGAAGGCTGGATCATCGGGATTAGAAGCTGACAGATGGAGTACAAACACGACAGCAGGTGTCAGTGGACTGAACTTTAAAGAGAAAGCTTTAAATGAGGAAAAATGAGAGCGATAATGTAAAGTGAGAGCTGGTCTATTGAATGTCTTCCGGATCGGCTTGTTATTCACAATCTTTTCCTCCAGGAGGCGCTGCAGAGCTGTGACAAAGGCTACAAATCCAGCTCATGTTCTATCCCCCAGATCTCATGTATATCCACAAATAATAATAATAATAATAATAATAATAATGATAATAATGATGAAAGAAAAACTAGAAAGAATGCAGATTCTTTTCATGTGATTTGGAGCACAGGCAGTGGTGTGCAGAGACATTTTGGGGTGCAGGTGTCTGAGTGGGGCGCCTTGTGCAACACTTGCAACAGCCGGCAGCCTCAGTGAGCTTTTTTACTGGCACATATAATTCAAATAATTAGTCTTATGTTGTCTGATGCTGATGTTCAATAATGGTCAACACTCTACAGGTCGGTTTCTCCAACAATCAAATTGGAAACAGGAGAATAAAGATAAAACAGATCAAATAAGTAATTTCAAATTCCCAAATTTATAAACAAGTTGGAAAAAAAAAATCAATAGTTCAAAGAAGTTGTCAAGCAAAATTATAACAATGTAGGGCAGAAATACTACTTCTGGCCACACACTATGTTGTAAAAAAAGAAAGAAAAAGCACATATGATTCACACTTGGAAATGTTTTTTACCCTTGTTTGAGGTGGTTTTTGGCTTTTCTGTAAAAAAGCTAACATGCTAAAGGCATATAAAACACATTTGCTCAGTAATTTCAGACGTAGCGAACATTTACTTGATTAAAAAAGCCAAGCTTAACGTCTGACGTAGTTGAACTTTGGTTTGGAGCAAATCAACCGGGCTACGCAGACAACAAGGAAACACACCTGATTCACATTTCCTTTTTTGTGAAATTTTCAAAGTTTGCTCATGATTGGCATGATAATTGGATGGAAACATGGCTAATGGCTGTCAGAATTAGCGCACAGCGGCAGCTACCTGCAGGTCGTAGTAGAAAGAGGTGATCTCAGAGCTGGAGTGGTTGTAGACGTGGGTGATCCTGGTGGGGTAGTTCAGGTCGGCGTAGAAGAACTGCAGGTGCTGGCCCAGGCTGTTCCGGGACGCCACACGCCGACCCAAGCCGTCGTAACGGTACTGGATGGTCCAGCTGGCAGCTTTACTGTAAACACGAACTAAAAGACCTGAAATCAAACAAAAGAACACGTTATGACATCGATTTGTTCTAGAGCAGACAGTTTTACAGGGATGTAAATCTTGTTTAGTGTGTTGGGACGATAATTCCCACCTTTGGAGTTGTACTCAAATATCTCAGTTCCTCTCTGTCTCAGGAATCCGTCTTCGTCCATTTTGTACTGAACATCCCCCAGGCGAGTGATTCTGTCCCTCAGATCATAGCGTAGCGGCGTCAGACGGCCGCTGTTCCCCGGGTTCAGTAAGTGCAGGTTTCCATTCAGGTCGTAGTTAAACCTGCAAAGCCGGCATTAAACCGTCAGCCTGTCACATCAACCCAGTAGGTTTGCTTCAAACAGTAGTTCCATGAAACAAATCTCACCTCCATATTAGCTTCTCATTGAGGGAGACCGTCTGCAGCTGTCCATCAACGTCATACTCATAACCGTATTTGGTTGTGTTGGCAAAGGGTCCGATCTTGATCTCGCGCTTGGTGACCCTGCCCATGTTGTCGTACTGAATAGTGATCCAGTACATGAGTGACCTGAAAATCTCATACTGGATCTCCTTGATCCGGCCGTGTTGGTCGAAGTGCTTGGTGTAGGTCATCACTGCTGTGGAGATGATCTGAAACAGGAAGTAAACGTTGATCTCCAATCAGTGACACGCAGAGCTTACAGCTAGATTTAGTTCGGAAATAGTCTGTGGGTGGCGGTTTCAGGAGTGAAGTAACAGACACTTCCAAAAATGTTCTGCTGTGTTTCATCTGATTTATGTCAAGAGGAATTCAGAATTAGCATAACAGTTTTTCTCAGTTGCTTTGGTGCATTTCTCAGAAAAGAATTGAAATTCTCCAAACTACTTGTTCAATCTTTACCTCAATGCGTCACTCGTGCGCATAAAAAAAAGCAGTTTCTGATTCCCCTGAGCAAGTTGGTCCATAATGTGATTATGTACAATTATATACGTTTTCCTACATTTTCAATGGATTATATCATGTTGACTAAAAATGTATCATTCAAGGCTCAAACTAAACAATTAAACATAAGTTTGTTGAATAAGTCTTAACATGCAAAATGCTTGAACAAGTTTTTATAACATGTCAAGATATTTTTAGACATTTTTCTAAACTTATGTTTCCACCATTTTCAACCTAACTTTTAAAAATTGCAGCCGCTCCATTGTTCAGTCCTCTGTACCTGTGGCCATGGAAGTGACTTAAACGTACCAATTCAATGATTAGATTAGTATTGTTGACCCAATAAGTTTAAGCATACTATGTATTTACACAAACCTACTCCTCACCAATATGAAATACCATAAAGCCTCACAGCCAACTCATATTTATAATATTCTTTCTGCTTTCTATCTTCTCATTTTGAGTGCTCTACATACTTTGGTTCATCGCTGCAAGCACAACATGAAGACCTACTTTTTCCCACTAATGGTTAAATCTATTGAAGTGACTCGTCTCTTACCTGATTGATATCATAGTAGATAACTCCAAACTTTCCAAACTGCTCCACTTTCCCAGAGATATCGTCGAACTGGTAGAGATCAATAGGCAGCGGCGTCTCATTGATCACAGCCTGCATGCTGGTGACCCTGAAGCTGTTGTCGTAGGTGTAGTCGAAGCGCGCATTCACCATCCCGTCCTCGCTGAAGCGGAATATTTGCCGGTCGACCAGCGGGCCGATCTGCCGGTAGCGGATGGAGCAGATGAAGCCTTCGCTCTGGAGGTTGACGGTTTTGAGCACGCCAGCGGTCTCGTCGTACGTGAAGCTGACCCGCGTCGAGTCGTAAAGGATCTCTGCCAGCTTATTCTGAGGAGACAAATACAACCACAACCGTTGCCATAATGGAAATGTCACATGTCATAAACAGGTGTTGGTTTTACACCAAAACAAATGACACCTAACAGAAATGTTCTTGTCATGAGACACTCAGCAGTGTTGGTTAGGTGAACTCTGCAACTACACATGAAGTGGTCATAATATATGATGTGAACTTAAGATAATCAAAAATAATAATGAAGCCATATACTTGTCTGCGATATTTGTACAGAATCCGTCGGCCGGTTCCTAGATGAGCCACTCTGAGGAGCTGGACATAGAAAGACATGGACAGGGAAAGTCAGTGTTTCGGCAGTTTTGCAGTTCTCTGGGAGTTTGTTTAAGATTAATTGTGAATGATTTGTTGGGCATAAGCCAATCAGAAAGAGACACACGACTGCAGCCTCAGCATCCTTAAACTTCTGTAAAGCTACATTTACAAACCTTAATTAATCTTATTAAGATTTTATGTGATTGACCAACACAAAGAAAAAGTTTGCAAATTGTGAAAATAAAAATACAAATGGAAAACATATTTTATAGATTTTTATTCCTTAAAAACTTTTTTTTAGAAAGCTTGGATAATTTTCCTGCCGCTCAACAAATTTGCACTGATCTGTGTTGATACGTCACACATACAACACCTCTGAAGTCTACGGTTGTTACATGAAGAAAAACAGCTGAAGTCAGTATGAAGAGGCAAAGTTATTTTACAAAAGCCGGGAAGGATTGCATCAGTTTGATTAAAAGCCACACACCTGCCCTTCCTCAGAGTAGTCCACAGTAACGGAGGCGTTGCTCTCCGGGGGGGTGTACAGGTTCCTGTAGTATCCCACAGATCTGATGGTCTGCATGGTGTGCCGAGCCACGCTGGGCATGGTGACGGCTGACAGTCGGTTCCCTGAGTCGTAGTCGAAGATGTACTGATGCTGGCTGTGCAGCAGCAACACCATGGACTGTCAAAGAGAGGAGACGACAGCAGGATGTTACAAACAGGACACAAAGCTGAGGGAGAGTGAAACACCATTTTTGTTTTTTCCTTCGGTCAGAACAAGACAGCTACAGATTCAATTACTTTAATCAAGCCAATGAAAGACGAATGTGAACAAAGGAATAAAGAAACAATTATTCCGAAGATATTCAGTTTATATTAAACACTTTGAGATGTTTTCTTATCCAGATTCACATTAATACAAGAGACATTTCCCCGTAGAGGACATATTTCATGGTCTGCTGCATCTTTTGCCTTTCTGTGATTCTAATTTTAAGCCCTCTGTTGTTCTTCTCCCCTGGCCTCCACCTCTCTCTAACATCCTAACTAAGCTCCAGGCGTCCCTGGAGTCTTGTCTCACCGTTGTACCTCTGTCAGTCTGTCTGTCTTTCCATTGCTATCAATCAATCGCCTTCTGTATCCCCACACAAACAAGGCCAGGTGCCGTTCAGAGTGTCAGGCCCTTCCTAGGCTAACACAGCAGACGTGTTGGATTCACTCCCCTCCTCCCTGTCCTCTTTCTCCTCACACTGTTTGTTTTTTTGCTCCCTCCTGAGCTCCCTTAGAGATGTTTTTCAAAGCCACTCACTTTTTAATGGTCTCTTCTTCTTCTTTTACTCTCTTCTCTCTGTCAGCCTTGCTTTCCTGACATCAATAGTTTCTTTTATTTGAGGACAAGATAGTTTCTTGGTTCTTAGTTTCCTTTACTTTACTCACCGCCTTTCTACAATCATTCACTTCGTGCTTTTTGCCGTCTCTTGTAAGTGCACAGATTCCTTGGAAAATACTAGCAGACTCAGAATTATAGAGCACCTTCCTACATGATACTTGCTACTCTATCCTGCGTTTCCATCACCATGCTGTTCTTCTTCTGAATGATTGCATTAAAATGAATTTGAAAAGTTCTGTGGAATAATTTTAAGATGTAATACTTGAATCAGTCTTAAAAAAAGACGAACTTGGTGCAGAAGTTTAATTCAAATTTTCTCCACTTACTCAGACAGTTTCTTTTTAAGAAGAAGACGTGGATTTCCGTTAAAGTCAAGGAGGTCTTTTGCAGCCATTGACTGCAGATTCATCAGTTCAAACTATTTCACGCATATACTGCCTCTCTCAGATGAAAATACATTGATCAGGAACAAGTGTGAAACCACTTAAGCTCAAGCCTGGCATGAACTAAAAGCAGCTTGCACACAAGTTTCTCCACTCCAAAGTGAAGTATGTTTTACCGCACATTTACTGCAGATAGAAACTTCCTTCTTGGTTGGTAAAAACTTTGTAGCTGCCCACTGGAACAAGCTAGTCAAACATTGATTCATATGGAATAAAATTACATACAGGACGCTTGGAGAAAACAAGGAAAGGCTCTCAAAACCTCAGAAAACTGTACCTGTACCAACTGTCAAGCCAAGCAGTGACAGAATGATGCTGGTTCGCTGACACCAGCTGTGTTTCCACGGACCATGAAATTGTGCAAATTCGAATTACGAAAATAAATTTGCCGAATGGAAACACGGCAATTTAGAAAAAACTTTCATCCATGTCACACCTTGTATATTTCTTAAGACTGCAATGGAAAAACTTCTTTGCATCACAGGAGTCACAGGAGTCTGTATCCAACAGCAAAGTGCTCATTTGTAGGTCCTGGCCTCTTTGGGCAATGTGCAGCTGGATCCACCAGAGCTTTTTCAGCATCACACACTTCATGAAATGTTGAGTTTGACATTCAAAAGTCTTGAATCCATTACTTTTATGTAAAATCACTGAATACAATTTCACTAAAATGCTGCTTATATCTGTAGCCACTCAAAGTAGCAGAGTCTTATTGAGCTAATGCCTCAATAAGTCGCCGACACATCGTCTAATGGCTGATGAGCGTTAGTACCATGGATGTTAGGTGGATATGTCTGATGTTAGTGTTTACAGCCGTCACTGCCATGATTTATAATGACTTATTGGGGAGCAGACTTGTTCACATGCAATTTTATTCCATTTATTTAATGAAAACGCTGCAATTGCGAAATTATGTTTTTCGACATTAGTAGAATATAGAAAAGGTTCTGCACAACTTTTCAGCTACTGATGCTGTTTCATTGCTTAAAGTGGCAGGAATAATGAAAATGGAGGACTTCCATTAAAGTACCTTATTTTCATCTCAAATCTCAGGCTACACAGATGAAAGATGGACACAGTTGGGAGGTCTAACAGGACAATATCTCCAAACATCTAATTTGGTTTTAACTGAATGGAGCAGTCTAAAATGTATCCATGATTAAGAATCTGGATTCAAGAAAGTTTACATGAATGAAACAATACTCCTTCTAAATAAAAGAAGCCATGATATTGTTAAAAAAACATAAATGGGTGATACCATGATACGTGACGCAGTACAGATATGTTTGGGTTGGAAATGTTTGAACACCTGACCCAGTGAGAAAGAAAGTTGAATGTATGCCTGTCTGTAAATGTTTTTACTTGTTCCCTACCTTATCCAGATACGTGTAGCTCCATATCTTCCCATCAGCAAAGACTCGAGAAATGATTCTTCCTTGATTGTCGTACTCCCACTTCTCTGTGGTCGGACCCCTCTGGAGGCCCGTCACCTGTCCCGTGCTGAACACACACACACACACACACACACACACAGGTTCACGTTTCACTGAATTACAGCTAGAAAGTTAAACAAGAGTGTCGTAGTTACATCTGATGGATCAGATCAGAGGAGAACAGTACAGATGTATTTACCTGGAGTACGTCAGGTTAACTGAGAGCAGTTTGCTGCTGGGGATCCACAGTGACGGGTGGCCCTGCGTGTCGTAGATGATCTTTAACAGGAACTTTCTGTGGTCATCATAAACCTTCTCGGTTCGCAGCGTGCGGTCATAATCCACAGACAGCAAGTTCCTTCCGTTTACCTGGATGTCAGAGGAGACAAATAAGGGACTGAGCTGTGCTTTGTGATCGTCTCTCAACAGTGAAACTAACGCCCAGATTTATCTTCTACTGCTGGTTCCTTATTCTTCCCGTTTCATTCAGCTTCACATATTTTGTCCAGTGTCTGCAAGTTTGTCTTTCTGTTTGTAACTATCACACAAACATGCACACACTCAATGCAGAGAGAACGTTCACCTTTTATTTGAATCCAAAGATTTATTTATCACGATACAAAAAACCCTCAGTAGATTCTACACTGTCTGTGTTTATTACACAAAAACAGCCAAAATAGCAAAGCAGTGTGTGAAACACTGAGTAACAAACTAACAGCTCATTGTAAACCACTGGGGTTGCCAGGTGAGGGGCGGCGCCTGCTGATTTGTGACATTATATTCGAAAGGTTATAAAAAGGCCTCATTTTCCAGACACCAAAAAAACTTTACCTTATTGCCAAAAACCAGCTGGGTGTTTTTTTAAGCACTTGGACTGTTTCTAGAAGCAGTAGAGATCCAAATGGGAGTAGAAAAACATGTGAAATGTGAAGTTTGTATGATATGCCCCCTTTAATCTATAATACAAGTATCTAGCATAAGTGTGAGAGAAAGGAAAAAAAATGAAATAGCTAATGAATTTAACTTGTAATGTCCTAAAATTTGACTGTTCACCTAAATGTCGGTACCACAGCCTACGAAATAAAACAAATCTCTGATCTGACAGCCATAAAACCAAATAACATCCCTGAACCAACAAGTCAGGCTTAATCACCATCTAAATGATGTGCTGTTAAAATCCGATTTATGAAGACAGATAGCCCAGATCTGCAGCTAAGTTCACCTTATAGATCCTTGAAGCAATGACAAACATTACAAACCGGCCAATCAATCACTTACAGACCTCTTTCATTAAACAGAGAGTCTGGCTGGAAGATGTCCAACGGTCCAATTTCTCACCTTTTCATTCAAGCTACTCATTCATTTGTGAATTAGGACCAGTTAAAATCAGTGAGGTGAATTAAAGGGGGATGAGGAAGATATTGGAACACTGGCCAGGAGCCACTAGGACGAAACACAGCATAGCTGAATAAAGTCACAGACTCAGCCGTAGACCAATAAATTTACAATGTGTTGGGGTCAGGTCTGGCCTGGCCATTGCCTTCCTGTGCAGTTTCACTCAATTCTCATTTCTCTTCAGTGTTCTCTGTGGGATTTCTCCCACTGAGTGCAATTTCTCCAGCCAATCAAACGATGACATTGATTCTCTTGTCCAGTTATAGTTGTAGTCTGCCTATAGCAGTAGTTTAGCGTTGGGAGTGGAGGAAGTGAACAAAACCATTCAGTCTGGGTTGGCTACTCTTCCAAATATTGAACAATTAAAATAAAATGTATAAGACATTTCATTGCTGGCAAACTACTATCCACATTTTATCCATCCAGCTGTTGATTTGAGGCCAACCTGAGGAATCTGGAGGTATTCTGCACTCTTATGTGCAATGCATCAGTTACACTGGCAGTGAAATTGGCCATCAGCATGCTGGAACCACCATAATGCTCCAAACATTTGTCTCGTTGCCAAACATGTAAATATTGGTCTCTTTTCTCCAGAGATAATTTAGTTTGTCCATGTTTGCTGCTGTAAATTTCATTTGAGCTAAAAACAGGCAGATTGGTGGTTGACCTACGACCAGCTTCACTGTGGATGGCGAGGCTCGTCTTCCAGCATTTTCCAGTGTATTAACAAAATTCTGGTAAAATTGTGCCCCTAATGTTTTGTAGGCTTTTGTCCATGTGTTTTTTGGCTGAGGCATTGCTCTTTTTGTACCCTGTGGTTCTGGATGCCGTACAGCTGGAAGGTGTTTTGCTCTTACTTTGTTTTACTTTCGGGAGAAAATTTATAACAGGTAGAAGCTGACTAGCATCTCGAAAGTTCAAAAAATACCTGAACTATGACCCATACTTCCAGACGAATTAAAAAGGGAGGTTTCATGGATGCAGAGAAGAGAGGAAGAGGATGTTCAAACCGTCTCTTCCATCGATCGTAATTAGCCAGGATCATTTCCAGGACTACAACTGTCCAGCTTTCTAACCAAAAGGCCAAACATAGATTTAAAGAGAAGTGGCAAAAGCAAATGAGGTGGATTAGCATCCACAAAATGCTTCTGTGAAATATGGTCTCTGTTGTCTGGATGAGCTGCTGTCCCTACTATCATACATGATTATCATACATCTGCAGTCTCCAGTCAGAAGCTCCTTCAGATTATTTGCAACACTAGCTGCTAACACAACCTCTCTTTAAAGTGGTTGGTGTCATCGTTGTTGGATTACAACAGCATTTATTTCTCTTTGGGATAAAAAGGAAAAAGTATTTTTGAAATAAACAATTTAACATAGATTCTCACATTTGCTGTTTTTATGACAATTCGACAACACCTTGCAAACATCTTTCTTTTTTTTTTTTTTTTTAGCAAATAAACCTCTACAACTTAGCTAAGCTTCATTGGTATCCTGGAAAAACCCTTCCTCACCTAGACAGAGATTATTTAAGGGGATTTCTAAAGCTATTTTTAAATAAAATTGCAAGGAGTTGCTTCTTTAACACGAGAAAATAGAGGCCACACAGATGCCAAACACATCCAAATACTTCCCAGAGCAAAAACGTAGCAGGTGATTGTCTTATTACCGGGGTCATGGATGTATTCCCATCTGCACACTCTTCCCATAGATGATGACACAAATAAGATAAATAATAAAAAAAGCTATGCTCTGTTGTCCAAAAGCAAGAATTTAGATTTTTTTTCTCACAGACAGCCGGGGTCGTGCTGCGAGCAGAGCGTTCGTACGCTCTCCCTCCAACAGTGTAAAAATTTGAAAGTGTGAACTGGTAAATTGCCTGTGGGCATCAATATGACCCTGTCAACCCGTCCTCCAATCTGGTGTGCTGCAGCTCTCAGCAGCCACTTGTAGAGCCTGCAGGTATACAGGATGCATAATGCATGGACGGCATAATCTTTTTTCTCTTATTCTTACAAGAATATGATAGTAATATGTCTGTGGGAGAACAAATTAAGAGAAATGTGATAAGCTGAGTTATGACACAGGAACTGGACATGCTAGGGGAATCTTTGTCTTAGTGCTTTTTTTCATGCTCACTTTGTTACCAATATCATCTGCAGTGTTACTTTATAATTAATTTTTAGGAGCTGCCATGATGTTTTTACGTACATGAGCAGGTCAGAGAGTCTCAAAGCTTTCTTCTCCTACCCGTGTCCTATCGTTTTTTAAGTCGTTTCTTTTACCACGGGGAGAAAGTATCATAAAAATGCTCAAAGCTCCTGACTAGTTCAATTTAATGTTATAACAGCAACATGATACTGTCCGGTTTCTGCAGCCAAAGACCTCAGCATGACCATAACCTGAACACGCTCTGAGTCAGCCTGATTCAGAGCACAGACATCTGGGTCAGTCAGAAACTGCAGTAGGGCTGGGCAATAAATCAAAAACAATATAAATCACAAAAGACACATGATCAGTATCAATAGGTAACATGTCTGATAAAATTTTAAAAATTTTCACTGAACAACTCAGATTTCTGTGGGATGTAGGCAGAGGAAAGGCTCTCAACGTCTCACTAGGTTTGTCTCAGTAATCAACAAATTATCACACGATTAAAAAGATCTCAATAATTTACATTTGCATTATTTATTGTTTTTTCTCTTTTCTCTCTAATTCTACCAAAAACTGGACGACAAAACTCTTCAGTCTGGTGTTTTGGTCTCAACTGGCTCTTTTTTTTTTTTTTTGAAGAACAATTTTGTTCACAGAGACTTTATAATTAATTTTATTTGTTTTTCTGTTGTTTTTTAATTTATTTTGGATATTTTAAAATGTCTTCCACTTCCAGTGTTAAATGTTCTTTAGAATTGAAAGTTTATTGTCTGAGAATTTGTTCTTAAGCCATTATATCATTACCCTTACATTACTTGAAAATGGTTTCAAATCAGCAATATTATCGTTTATTGCAATAACTTCTGAGGCAATTTATCGACCAGCAAAATTTCATCCCTCACTCTTTGGTTACATAAAAACAACCTGTTGAGAAAATGGTGCAGCAGCAGTTTCATGTTTTGCCTCATAATTGTGTAAAAATAAAAAACAACGGCATGGAGTGAAAACTGTAAACAGGAAAGGTCACGCCACCAGTTTGGCAGTATTTTGAGATACTTAAAACAAAAACGACTCCATAATTATCAATATAGACTAATATGAAACGCCTACATTGTGATATGTTTTTCAGCCATGTCATGACTTATAATCCAGAAAAAATAATAGGGTGACTGGCGATCAGCCTTTGTTAAAGAGACCGTGGTCGATCGCTGTCCATCACCTGTATCTGAAGAACACTCACCCTCAGCTTCCTCCCAAACACAATGACCTTTCCTCGGGTCTGCTCCTTCCTAAATCTCCACTCGACTAAGTTCTGGCCATTCTCTCCTGGCAGGGTCATGTTGCGCCGGGCGATCGTAGGGTTAGCAGCTCCTAAAGACACATTACAAGACATCTGGGGTTTACAAACACTACAACATGCAGACTGGTGAAGGCTTTGAGAAAGACGGACAAGTATTTGCTCCATCAATGCACAAAGTTTGCTTCAGGATATGGTAAATAATTTAAACCTACCTGCCAGTATGTGTGGCTCTGTCTGATAGTGTGTGTCCATCCCATTAGCATAGATGACCCTGAGTGAATGGTCATTACCCACTTGGTAGCTGTTACGAAGCTGGTCTGCATGACACAAGTACAAGCAAGAGATGCAGTTATCGATACGGCGTTACACTGCAGCATTCAAAGGATTTACTGAAGAACATATCAATTGTGAGCTGAAATGAGGATAAAGGGAGGAAAACGAAATGCAGGGAGGGAAAGAGCAGCTAAAAGACAGCAGGGAGACAAAGTAAGGTGAGAAACAATTCATCTCTGGGCGAAGTGTTTGAACCTGCTAATGGAGCAGAGAGAAGGTTTAACATCCTTCAGCCTTTTTCAATTATGTTCCTCTCAGCCTCCCACAGGACTAATGGCTGCTTGTGCAAGCAGGACACAGAGTGGCTGACGGCACTCTTTTATCTTTGACTAAATATACACCCTGCTAGATCTATGCAACAATACAGCAACAGAATAAAATAACTTGATTAAACAAAGGCCTGGCTAACCGTTGCATTTGGCCTTTTCCCTCTCACTGTATTTCCACTCTGTTTTTCAGCTCACATCATTCACTTACTATTGATTTTTTTGTGACACCCGTGTTTTTCGGTTCCGTTTAATTAATATTAAAGCATTTTGGCTTGGTAACAGTGTATTGGAATTCTCACACTAAAATAAATGTATACTGACAAGAATGCAGCCTGGTTTTTATGACTCAATGCAAGTCGCAAGGGAAGTGGAGAAGTCTAAACAGTAAATCTTTACATTTAGCTATCAAGGAGTTTTATTCTGGAAATCTTATCCTCTGGGATTTTTCTTTCTTATAATTTTTTTTCAACATTAAAGTTATGAATAGTTCCAAATTCAAGTTAATTTGTCTCAAAACCTTTAGTTGCCTGTTGGAAAGCTGAAAATAAAGAGAGACTTAATTTTTCAACATTGGAGTGAAAGCACATATCCAAATAAACTCTGCAGAAAGAAAGAAAGAAAATGAAAATTATGGAAAAGGCTACACATAACCAAAACTATAAACAAGATACTGACAGATTTCCACCAAAAAAGACTGAAAACTGAAATTGAACCCAAACTGCTTTAATCTAGTATTGTTGTAGGGGTGTGAACACTTTTACAACCAGATTAGTGTATAGTGCAGCATTTTTAATGTTTTCCTTGAAACAAATTTTCAATTGAATTCTATAAGATAAATGTTATGTTATAGGGCAAAAGGGTTTCTGAAGTGTCTAATCATTGTCTGATTTTTTGCACCATTTCAACCTTTTTAAAAAGAATGTTTACACTTTCTGGTTCATTATTTTTTTCTTCTAGTTTTCTTAATTTCCAATAACAGCCTGCACATTTTAAAGGCATATTCAGATGCATCTGCTGAACACAAGCTAAAAAGAAAGACAGACAAAATTACAAAAAGAAAAACTCGAAGACCTTCAGAACCCCCGCTTTAGAAAGCTTGGAAAACTATCGATCCAGACAACTTGAAATTATTACGAGACAGTCGATCAAAAAGTCTGAGGCGGTTTTGCACAACACTTTACTCTCGTCAATTTTTTTTTTCTTTGCAAATCATTTTATCGAATGACACAAAGTAAAATATATTTTCTGCTTCAACATTTCTCGTGTTTTGTGTGTGATGTAATGCCGGTGCAACTTCATGTCGGCTGAGCTTCAGAGTTCTAACTTTAACATGTCATGAGAAATACCTGAATACGTTTCTATCTCCAAGTTCTACAACGTACGTTAATGAAAATATTAAAAATATATATATTTTTTGGTAATTTAGTTAATTAAAATGGATAATTTTGCATTAAGTATCTTGCAGAATGTGAGATGACATTAGGTGGGGTAGGGTTATATTTTTATTATCTCAGTCATTCCCCAGCACATTATCACACATGGTGATCCAGTAGAAACAACAGTTTACTGTAAATGTCTGCAAATGACCTTTTAACCTCTTGCTTCCACATATTCTGCTTTCTCAAGCAGTTAACGGCATCATTAATATGACTAAGTACAGCAGCTAAATTAGCTTGTTTACCGTCGCTGGCCTGCACCTGGACCTAATGGGATGCCTTCTACCTACGCATGTAGATGAGATGGCAGGAAAAACACGAATAAATGTAAGTGAACTGATGAAAGCAATGCTTTAGTTGTCCAGGACTTTGAATTAATCAGGATAGGAGGAAGGCACTCTCAACAGAGGCGTCACTATTGTAGTCCTTCATACACGAGTTTCTTTCACACAGAAAACTTATATTGTATCGATGCTCATAATGCATTGACTTTAAGATTATAATACACAAGCAGAACAATTTAAAGACATCAAGGAAGAAACTGTTCTGAATCCACTAGACTGAAGGAGGATTCATTGATCTGCAGCATCAAATTTCACACTCAAATTTAAACCTCTGAGGTAAATGGAAGGCAATGTTCGTCCACAATTTACATCAACATCACCGCTAAAACATAATTTTCCAGTTTTTGTCTGACAAAGAATGACAACATTGCTGAAATGCACCAGTGTGAATGTTTTCTTTCGCTGCTCTCAAAAAAAAAAATTATGAGAATGGATTTTACTCTGGCTTACAGAAGCTTTGAATCAAAGTACAAATGAAACAACATCCCAAATTCAGAAAAAAATGATCACAGAAAACAACACAACCTATTTTCCCATCTGTGGCTTAATACTTGTGTCTCTCAGTAACTGCAGCTTGTCTTACTTCTCTGATTGTTCCACAGTCATTTAGTGAGTTTTTAATACCACCAGCTTACAGTGACTTACAGAAGTATTTGCAGCCCTTAGATTTCTTCATGTTAAATCATATTACAACCACAAACTTCTGCGTATTTTATTTTGCCTGATGGACCAACACAAAGCAGAAAATGAATGCAAAGTGGAAGCAAAAGAATATTTTTTCAGAGGCTTTTACAGTTTAAAAAATCTGAAAGGTGTGACGTACGTTTATATTCATCTCAACCAGATTCCTTCCAGGATCGACATGTATTTAGCTCCGTACATCGAACCTGTTTACAGGCATCGAGCCTGTTACTAGTTACAAGCTTGTAATGCCAGCAGCATTACAGAAACCAGATAGTTCTCCAAAACTCTTTGAAAAGAAGAGATTGAACCTGGTCAGGCAAGTTGCCAAGACACTGAAAGCAACAATAAAACAGGAGTAAAAACCTGCAACAGAAAAAGTACTGGTACCAATTTAGATGTGGAAACAAGCACTGAACAGAACATCTTTTGCCATAATCCCAATAAATTTAACTGACGTTTGTGCCTGTAACAGGTATGAATACTTTAGCAAGCCACTGTATTTTCATATTTTGTACAATATAAAACTCTGGCAGATGGATTTGTGAACAGCAACAGATTTTATTCCTTTTAATTTTGCAGCAGGGAAAACATTGGGAAAGGTGATAAAATCTAAAAATGAAGCTACATTTCTTCGGATCTGACTTACTTTTATTATTCATAATGATCATAATCATCTGCCTGACCTTTCCTTATAGATGAGTTTCAGACTCAGTCACATGCATGCCAGCACCTTACCTTGCACCAAAGTGTAAAAGGAGTCTATAGACGATAAGTTTGTTGTTATGGAAACATCCTCATCCCTCCCTGACGTCTCTATGTCCACTGCGATGGCTCCTGAAGACATGTCGCCGTGGAGATTGGTGACCACGCCGGTGGGGAAGGTCACATTAGTCAGACGACCCTCGCTGTCATAGCTACCAGGACAGAATGCAGGAGAAGGAGAAAGGGGACATTAGATGTCATTACTGTAATGAATCCTGCCGAGACAGAGAAAATGACCTGAATATACATACAGGAAGCAAGTCCTCATATTTATTAAGATGTGTAAAACGCCCTAAAATAGGTTAATCATTTGTCACAGCAACATCACATTAGCATAAACATTTCAGCAAGATTCAGTTTTGATACCTTTTTCAGTAATAAAGAAGAAATATTTTCAACTAAATCTCTTCTTGGTACGTCCAAGATTTCCTATACAATGAATGTAATTGAAGCATGTTTAAACTGATATTTTATCTTTACCTTTATCAGACTGTGTATGAACCTAATTAGTAACTCATAACATGACTCCTGTTTACTAGGAGTATAACTATAACATGGCATATATAAGCCCCTTTTCATTCCTCAAAGCAGGAAGCAAAGGAGAACATGGCATTCGTGTAAGGAAGAGATATATTACACTCCATGTAAGGAAATGGCTACAAGGAAATGGCATCTACCCATATCTACATATCTACATATACTCACTGCTCTAGTAAGTTCAAACTGAGAGAAGCAAGGCTGAGCGAGGTCTCACATTTATCTTGTCAGGACACGTCTTCATCACACAGTGATGGTAAAAATTGCAGAAAAGAGTGCCATCTTTGGGTTACCAACTCACCATAACAACAATCCATAATCCACTCACTCACAAACATAAAAGTCCAGTGTTTGCTCATCTATTTGAGTTCCTTAAATGAAACTAAGATTCATATTCTTTGCAGCAAACGATCCAGGAAGGATTTGGTCTGAAACGGAGAATAAATGAGTGGAAAAGCATCTCATGCCGCTGTTGAGTACAGCAGGCATGAAAAGGCGACGTTCACACAGCAACTCTTCATGCTCAGTTCCACATTTTTGCTGAAATCAATTTTTTTGTTTTGCTTATTGATACTACTAATTAAATATGATCAGAGTCAAACTTCACGAAGGACCTGCATGAAGAAGAAGAAGGGAGGCGTCACACAGAATCACCTCGTTTAACGAAGTAATAATGGATGCCGTCTATGGATTGTTTTCAAATTGTTGCGTAATAGAAGCCGATATTATTGTCTCAAGATAATAGCAATGACCTTTTGTGGAGCATTCACTGTGATGTCTGTAGAGATGTCTGTTTGGATGCAGAGACACAAAACATTATCAGAGTTTTCACAATTATAATTTTCGGCCATTGTTGGCATCCAGATTTACCGTGTCTGGTGTCTCCTGGTGAACAATTATGACAAGTCTCACATCAAAGACGTAAAATCTGGATAAAATCCAACATGGCTGTTCAGATTGGACACGTATCAGATTCAGTGTCATATATGGAAGTGGAGCAAGTTGGATATTTCTTGGGTTAAAAATCGGAATTGGGCCGTTCAGACATATTTGAAAGTATCACAAACTCTTTCAAGTACCAGGAGACCTTAGAATAAAATCTGGTGTCCTCTGGCAGTTAAATGAAGGCTTGTCATTATTGGTTTTTACAAAAGGATAATGATCCAAACACATCTTCACGTCAACACCAGAAATGATTCTAAAACTGACATAAAATCAACTTTCCTCCTTGGCCATTCGGCAAACTGAGTGCTGTCCTATTGGCAAACATGTTCATTTCAGCAAGTGAATGAATTAATCAATACTTACACTGTTATTATCAGTCTTGCCAACTTTCATATCCCGTCAACAGTGCAGTCACAGTCTGCGCTCTAGACTTTCTTTTGCCCTCAATCTTCCATCTGCCTGATTAAAGCTGGATGAAAAGTCTTCTCATATGTTACCGCTGCCCCCTCATCCTGGATCCCCCTTCAGCAAGACTGATTTCAACCGGCTTCTGAAGACTAAGTGCTTTTGATGCTATTCATCGTCTCATTTGGTTTCTCTCATCAGTTTAAGTCTTATTTGTGTGAACACGTCCCTCTTGAAACTGAGATTGAGTGTTTCAAAGAAGCTAACCTGCACCGGTAAAAGCAGAATAAAACAGAAGAAACACGCCAATGGTGACTTTGTTAACACTGTGCATGACTGAACGCACACTCTAAAAGGCTAGACTTTTCAGTGGGAGGCTATACAATGAAAGGTGATTTATTCATTTGACCCAGAGGAGCTGGAAGGGCACTGTAGCAAACACACAGGTGTGTGTTAAGTGTCTTAGTAGGAACACTTCCATCTGCCGCCTCAAACCAGATCAGACCACAGCACAGCTCCAACTGTGGCCTGAGGCAAGAATGGAGAAAAGACCAAATCACAAACAAAAGCAATGATGAAGAGCAATGAATTTGTTCATGCAGCCAAGCAGCAATTTAACAAAAACCTGAAGCTCTTTTATATGTCTAGTGTCTTTAGAGAAGATTTATTTATATTTGAATGAGGGAAAATCTGTTTGATGAAGTCCTGGAATGCGTAAAAGAGCTCTTGAATAAAGTAAGATTGTTTGTCCCTGCCGAAACCAGAAGATGTGGACTGATGGTGAATGACGACATATAATGTTCGGACATGATCCAGAACGCTGCACCTTGCTTTTTCACTAAAACCAGGAAGATGGAGAACATCACCCAGTTCTAAAGTCCTTCACTGGCTCCCTGTAGCTCAGAGAACAGAATTTAGTTTATGCCTTTTTTGTGTTTTTATGATGTCAAGCCTTGTTGCTGAAATGCACTATATAAATAAACATGACTTGATTACAACAGAGGACCACCTGTGTCAAGTGAAGTGGACGTATCCTCTTCCCTAATGACCAAGGCATCAACAATGCAATTATTCTGGAGCCTTACTTTCATCCTCACATAGCTGCACAGATTGCATTCATGCATTTAGATGTGACAGTCAGTAGGTGGCTTACTCATAGAATGTAGTCCAGCCAATTTGGATGCTCTTGGTAGCCAGCAAGCCACTGTTGCCATGGTAAGTAAATAAAACCAGTTCCTGACCCTGAGCCGTGAGAGACTTTAGTCCTCCATTGGTCCCGATTGTCAGCCAGATGACCTGTGTATTGAAAGATAAAATAAAACACAACCAGACAGTCAGATGGTCGCCATGAATCCAGAACAATCTGTGAGTCATGGCCATCCTCAAAGAATGCAAATGTGCAAAAATGTGAACATCTCACCTGATTATCAGGAGCTACCACACGTACAGGCATCCTGTTGGTGTCTCTACGGACACGGAGCGTGTTCCCGCTGCTGTCTGTCACTGCGGTAACATCCTCCTCGTTGCTGAGAGGACAGGAAAGCAGAAAATGAGAACAAACTGAACTATGCTTCAAAAAAATGCACCGTTACAGTTTTATGGTTTAAAAAAAGAGGGGAAAAACAGTAAAAAATGTCAAACCAACCTGTAGCTGAAGTTGTATTTGAAGTCTCCAGTGATCAGAGACATGGTGAACTGGTGAGTCCCATTCGAATCAAACACATAAAGTTCCTGTGAGGCTGGAGAAGCCACTTCATAGGAGCTGGGACCTGAAGCCAAAGAGCCTGCAGATGAGTTAGACAGATGAAGAGACTCTGATTGGAGAGAGACTCATTTTTATTCTCCAGCTCTTGACTTTGCCTTATTAAGCTAATGTACAGCGATTATAGCAGCCACTTGACAAACACTGTGATTACTGACCATGTTTGGAGATGCTTTGTACTGGTCAGTCTGATTGGACTTTCATGAGTTCTGACCGGATTTCCAGTGAGGACTTATTGTTGGAAGTGATGCAAATATGGAAAATAATGCATGGACTGCAACTTACTAATGTTACTACTTTAAATGCCAAGCAGTAGGAACAATTTTTGGCATCTATATTAAATGCTTTATTATGTTCCCTCTAACTTTTTTTTTCAGCTGGCATTTTGACAAGGAGCTCCTGTATTTATTTTCCCCAACCTCCACGGCCTAACCTGGCTCTGAAGAGAAAAAAAAAAGAAAAGTAAAAAGAGAAAAGAATCCTCCTCTCTCCACTTTCCACTGCCACCCCATGTTTGTTCAAGTAAGGAGATTGAATCCAGCAGAAGATTCAATATGATCTGTTGGCACCAAAACCTTCATTGACATGTGTGGAATAACAAGGAGTTGAACTGTGTTAAACTGAAACTGAACAGTTTTAATTAAAACCACCTGTGATTCCTTTTAATATAATTAGAAATGTGTGAATACACGAAATGCAATAAAGATAAAAATAGATGAAAGCACAGGAGTGATTAGTACAGGTGAAATCCTTGTAGAAGAAGATAGAAACACTAATAATAAAACCTACATGATTGTTGCTCTGGGCTAAATACTTGAGTGGGAGATTTTTTAAAACACTTGAAAACAATTCTTGTTTGCTAAATGTTATTAATTCATAGTAGAAAATCAGCTTCATTTAATGTTTCAACTCCAAAAGATGACTGTCTGAAATCCTTTAGGTGGCACTGTGACCTTTACTTTTTGGGGTTTAGATCTTTCTTTCTGAATTAAGGGGTAATTAAATATAAAGTATTTCATCCTTTCTGTGACAATCAGAAAACACGCTAGATGATTTTCCTTGGAGGACTCTCCCTAAAAATAGACTGAGAAGCATGAATATGTGTATTAACCTGATGAAAAGTGTGATTTTTATCAGCTCACAGGCGCTCCCTGCTGGTTTTGCAGCCAGTCTTGAATATTTCAGAGTTCAGAGGGATCCTTCACAGATCCCTCAGCAGAAATGCAGCATTTATGTGTGGAGGCCTAAAAATAGCTCCATCTATAAATGTTCGTACCGGTGCGTGGCTGGTTGCGTCTTATTGCCCGGATCCGAATGTTTCCCAGATCAGCCACGTACAGAGTCCCATCCGGCGACACCACCAGAGACGAAGGGCCGCTAAGCCTGGCGTCTTTAGCGTAGCCGTCTCCTGTCTGATAGCAGTCACAGTTGGCATCGTTCTGCAAAGACAAACAGGAAGAAACCATCATTCCATGTAATATATATAAATATCCTGATGGATGTGAAGGAGCAAAACGTGGCTGTAACTCTGCAGTACCTTGCAGTCACAGTCAGATAGTGCACCAGCCAGATGCGTAATTTCTCCATCAGTGGACACCTAGGAGTACAGCAGAGGATGTACAGCTATGAAAAATATTAAATAAAACAGCAGCCTGGCATTCTGACAGAAAACAAAGGAACAAACTAGAGGTATTAGTTGCAAGTATTGAATATTAGCAGAGAAACTGATGAATAATAAGAAATAATATTGATTCAGGGCTCTGGGTCACTGAAGTATTTTGTCCATTATTTTAGAAAAGTGGCAATTTGTGAGTAAATCAGTTACATGTTTATTCTAACAAACTACCAGAGAGTGTAAGAACGTATCAGTCTTTTAAAACATTTTCTAACTTAAAACCATGGTTCTTAGATAATCAAATATGGAGGCACAGTTCATGTGGTTCAGTTTTTTCTTTCATGTATTGAGGTAAATTTTTGTGCTGTATGGCTTTTTATTCTTTTTAAATGTGTAACCTGATCTGTTTCTTCAGATAAATAAATGTTTTTTATTTATTTTGATGATGGAAGGATCTTGCCAACTTGTCTGTGTTGCATTGTGATTTATTGTGTTTATACTGATTGTGCCCTGAGGAACTACAGATGAAAACTAGCCTTTATGCTAACTCTGGCATATTATGTGATGTGCATTGTCCCTTTTGAAAACAGCAACATTCAACAGTACACGCTGCAATACATATTCCTGACGTAAATTGGAAATATCACTAAATGTGAGCGAGTGAATGTGCCGTAAAAATGCGACAGGTTACTTGTCGAATGCGGTGCATCTTCTTCTCATCTGTCTCTGCGATGTAGAGGATGCCGCTGTAGGACAGAGCGATGGCGGTCGCTCCCTCCAGCATGGTCTGCACCGCTCTCTTTCCCATGGTGTATTCTATACCAGGCACCTGGCAGTGCATGGGACGACCAGCCACTATACGGACCTGAACACACACACACACACACACCACACACACACACACAGGATATTGTTTTCCAACTCAACTTTGTTTTAAACATCTCCAAATCTTTCTGCCTACGGTGCTGAATGCTAAATTACTTCACACTTTACATAAAATCCAGTGAAGTTTGAAGTTGTAATGTGAAAAAACGTGAAGAAGCTCAAGGGTGTGAACATTTTTGAAGTTAAGTGCAGATGTGAAACGTACCTGTCTGTTTTCAGTGATCTGTAGAACAACGTTGTTGTCCAGGACGTAGATGGAGTTATCCATGGGGTTGATGGCGAGATCTGTGGGCCATTCCAATCGAACCTGAACAGAAGAATGACAGCTTCGTTTTCCTTGGATCATCAACCATGACCTGCACATTAAATATGTGAAACCTTCATCCCAGCTGCAGTTCTAACTCCTGTGCTCTCCCTCTGCGGTATAGACATGAATTCTGTCACACAAATAAAAAGAAAAGCTAACAGTCAGCGCCAAATACGAGAAGAAGCAGCTTAATGTGTGCGAGTGTGGAGCCGTTTCTTTACTCGTCTCCTATCTGTTATATGCAATATCACACACTGTCAATCTGAAAATAAGGTGTAATAATAGTGTACTATTTCTGACTCTCACACTCCCTACTATGTTCAGCTTTAGTCTGTAAGTAAATACATTCAGACAACAAAGAGTTTCGCTGGGGACGAGGGGTAGAAAGAAAAACAGAACAGAAATGATTTCACCCAACAAAACTTCTTCTCTCATTAATACATTCAAGCTTATCTGTGTTTTCTCTGCTTCACTGCATTCAGTCCCACCAATCACAACCAACAGGGGTTTACACTGGCTCCAAGCCTTCACTTTAAAAACAGCAGTGTGCTACAGTTGCGCTGTGGCTGTGTTAGAAATGCTCTGTATGTTAACCTGTCTTATGTGCATGCTGGTATCGCAGGTCAAAGGTCGTGCAGAGGTCAGGTCGTTGCTGCCCAGCACTGTGGAAATGATTCCGTTACGATCCACTTTCCTGATCATCGTTCCGTCCACAAAGTAGATGAGTCCGTTCTTATCGGCTGCAATCCCTGGAGAGCAGAGACAGATTCACAGGACAAAGTTTAGATATCACACAATTTATCAACCTGTTAAACGATGAATTATTAAGATTTTACTTAAAATTGGTAGCACAGACACTGACCAGTGACAGCAAAGATGGGGTGGAAAATGTAAACAGTTTGAATTTTAGGAATTTTACAAATAAAGAGGAAAAATTTAAAAGCTACTAAATATATTTAAAAAACTGACAGTACAAATATAAATTCAGTACAAATCAAGAAAACAAAAAAACGTTCTTCTCTGCTACACTATCTGCAAAAACACATAATCTTATTTTCTGTTTAGTTTCTATTGGAAATATCTTAGACCACTCAAAATAAGACAAAACCAACTTACTTCTCAACTAGAAACAGGAGATTGTTTTAAGTCTGTAGTTTCTTAAGATTGATGAAAAAATACTAGATGCACCAGAAGATTATTTAATTTATGTGCCGTAAAACTAGCAGTTCCACTGGCGTAAAGCCAGTGGAACTTTTAATATTTAATATTAAAATATTTTTATTTTAATATTTAATATTAATATTAAATATTTTTAATATTTAATATTAAAAAATATTAAATATTTTTTAATATTTTTTAAAATATTAAAAAATATTTTAATATTTTTTAAAATCAATATTTTAAAAATATTGATTTTTTAAAACCAATATTAAGGAATTATTGACTTAAAACATACTCCTACTTTTTGCTGAAGTTATTTTTATCTTATTTTGAGTGTACCAATATATTTGCTCAAACTAGACAAAAAATACTTGGCAAGATTTTATGTTTTTGTAGTGTAGAGATATAAAATGAACCTTTTAGATGAAGAAAACTTCATCAAATTCCAAGTGAATCATGTAGGAAGGCTGCTTTTCCCCAGATAAGAACATTTTTATGCAACATCCACTGGACTACGTAGTGCAAACCTACTGCACTATTTAAATTACACAGATTTGTGAAATGTAAATTCTGAAAAACCTGCACTTCGACGTTGGACATGGTGTCGTAAACATGTCATACTGACATTTTAAAATATTCCTCCTTTGACAGTTACAGAGCTCAATAAGCTCCATAAGTGTCCTCGGATGTTGAAGGCATCCCTGTATGAACTGCTGAGTTTGGTGAAAGAATCACAGCACTGATATTTTTAAATTACCACCTTGTCTGTCTGGACAGATCCACACAAAGCGTCAGAGCCAGTCCTGTAAATGATATACTGACCCACTTGATATTCTGTTCCCCTCAAGCACGAAAAGCATTCATAATTCTCCCAGGACAGATGTGGCTCCAGAGTGAAAAACTGCCATCACATGCAAAACTGCAGCACCGATCAGGAAGGAGCTTAGCTGTGAAATCTGTCTGCACATCCAGCTTGTGTCACTGGGGTTCAGTTTCAGCTGCTTACTGCTGCCTTCATAGGACAACAGTAATCTAACAAGAACACAGCGAAAGCTAATGAAATGTGTCGGTTTAAACCTTAACTTTCCACGGCCATCCGAGACTTCCCCACTTCCTGCAACTCACACTCTTATTGTTCATTTCTACAGCATGATGGAACGTCGCCGAGCAGCAGGAGATACAATCCTGATTAAAATTTTAGGTAGATGGAAATCATTCGCATTTCATGCTGCCAGATTTTTTTCCAGGGTGTGGAATTGATGTCTGTTATTGCCATTCATCCCTGAATATGTTCATTGCTATTCAATAGGAGATCAGGGGAACATGCAGTGGGTGCTGTATGCTTTGATAAAGTGTTTTTGTAAGACAGTAGTTGTGGAATGTGTTGTTTTCAGCCGTCAGATGAAAGTCCTCAGTCCGGAGGGAGACGCACTCCATATAGCCAGCAGCAGTTTGACGCCCCTACGCAACCTGAATGTTCATTGTTCCTGGGGGATCCCAGGATGAGCTGCACGATGTTTATCATCAGAGGGGAAATAAAAGGTAATCTTTCAGTCTTCCTTATTTGACGCTTTTGTGCAAAGTCCAAATGGGTGAATTTATGGAATGGGAGGAGATGTTTTATAGTTTTTAAGGCCTTCTTTTGTAACTTTCTAACGGTTATTGGGCTGCAGGCAGGTTCAGTAGAGTCTAGGTTCAGGATCTACCTGTGACTTTACAGAGTAGCTGTTGGATCCTGTAGCTCAGTGTGGTAATTTGTGTTCTTCCAGGCACAAAGTGCCATTTAATAGGACAGTCAACTAATCTTGTAACATTCAATTGTTATAAAAATGCTGTATATATCAAACCTAAAAGAAATTTGACTTCACAAGTTGATGCCTTGAGATTGGGCCTCTAAAGCTCCTGCTCTTTCCGACGCTCTGCCTTCAGGAAATCATCAAAACAGCACTTCCCCCATTATGCCGCTTGCAAGCAGTCTTAGGACGGTTGGACTTAGATGTAGTTCGTATGCGCTCAGCAGATGCACAGTTCCATGTGGTGTTTGGTAACTACTGCTGCCGCTAGTCTGGGGGAGCGGAGTGGGGAGTGGCAGGGGAAGGGTGCTCTATGAGACAGAAACTCGGCTAGAGATTGAAGCTACAAGGAAAAGCTTTGAGTAAATAGGTGGCGCTTTGCGAGAGCTAGCATTTAGGCACCGCTGAACGGTTGCCATGGGAGATTCAAACATGCGTGAAAGAATCAAAGCAACACTCCAGGTATGTTTTTGATGAGGGAGCATAAAGCTCGACAAAGTCGATGACACATAAAACAGAGCAAGATAAGCTGATGGTCCAGGGATTAAGTGTTATGTTTGTGTGTTTTCCCTACAGAGGAGAAACAAATTTTAGTCAGATTAACAGGAAAATAGGTCATGCTGGTCATTTTAGTATCAAGCATCAAGAATCCTGAGGTGAGCGAAGCATCTGAACAGAGTACAATGAAACTAAGTAATGTAATCATTAGTGCAGCATTTGAGTCATAGTTGTACTTATTCTGTAACACTGGCAAACATGTGGTAACATCTGAGAGCTGTGAAAACATTTTTTGTTGATGTCCAAAAATTAACAGCAGCTCAGATTAACTGCACTCAAGGCAACGTAAGCACACCACTTTCCTTTAGGCATGTGGCTTCCCTTATCATTCAAATAAAATGCAAATAGTGTAATGGTGGACAAAGAGTCATTCAGTACATCCAGCTCAATTAGTGCAACACTACACAAACCAAATCAGTGTGAAGACCAATCCTACACACAGAGGAAAGAGAAACCATCAGGTCTGACAATAAGTTCAGGATGTGACTTAAACGTGAACCTAAACAAATGGCTTTTTATGTGTGCTGCAAACTAGATTTAGAAATATATGCAACAGGTTACAGGTGTGTGTGTGTGTGTGTGTGTACCTTTTGGTCCCAGCAGCTGTGCCTCTGTAGCTTTTCTCCCATCACCACATCGGGCCTCATCGAAAGGAGGACACTGCTCACCTGTGCCAGCCACGACTTCTCCATTACCTGAACACACACACACATTTACACACACTGAATTTGCTGCAGAGTTTTCCAAACACGGAATATCAGACAATAATGGAGAAGGATGCTTTCATTTCTGCCAACACAGGGCTTTTCCTGTGGCTTGTGCTTACTGTTGAGGTCCCGGGCGCCGCTAAGCATCTTGGGACGGTAAATTCTCCTGGAGTTGGTGTCGGACACATACAGCTGTCCGGTTACTGGGTCAGTGGCCATGAAGTAGCGGTGAGCAGGGTTGTTGCTGTGGAGGACAGTGACAGACAAACAAGCACAGAATGAGGATCAAACTTCTTTATTTTTAAGAGTTTGTTGTGCTGACGGCCTTTTTTTAGCCGTAGTAAGGATGAAATAGACTCAAAGTTTTATCACAATATTTTGAGATTCTATTGTGATGATGAAAAGTTGGTAACTATTCTAATGCTGTATGTCTGTTATTTACAATTGTGATTATTATTATTATTATTATTATTATTATTATTATTATAAGTAGATGATTTTGTCTTGATATATCATTTATTTGTTAACTCTGTAGCCCAGTACATTGAACAGGAACATGGATGTTATTATCACATGGTTTTAATTACAAATTTTTGATAATTACTGAGTCAGTAAGTGATACATTTCATTAAACTGAATTGAATAAATTAAAAGTGTTCACTTCTTCCTACAGAAAAATAGCGGTAAACAAATTGTTTTGTCCTAGGTTGTGTTTGCACATGTTTCCTCTGTCCTACTGACTCCTTGGTTTCTTGTTTTTATAAACCTGTTTGAAATAAATACATCAAAATAAAAGTTATCTCAAACTAACTTTAGGTGACTGAATGCCACAGCAATCATAGTCCCACAAACACGACTGATCTTGAAATAATGCGTAAAAAGCTGCTTTAGGACACCAATCGCATGAAGGTGCGATTTGTTTCACTAAACTGCACACAGTAACTACATTTAATCATATTTTCAAATCAATTGATGGTCTAAATAAAAATAAAAAACATGGAGAACATAGTAAAATTAATAATCTCAACAACACAGACGATTTCAGGGAGTTTTAAACATCATTAGTAGAAATTTATCAATTAATGATAAATTGAAAATTCTTATCACGATAAGAATCACGATAAATGATAAATTACCACTACTAATCCTTAGCTTGACAGGAAGCAGGGCAGAACGAGATGCCATGCAGTAAAAGGTCACTGACCCCACATGGAGCCCAGATGAATATTGTAAGTTACTTTTTACGCAACACATCCTGCTGCTTCCAAGACTCTACTTTATTGGTGTCCCCCGGCCACATGAAACAACACAATTTTGTTTCGCTGTATACTTTTCAAAAATACAAGAGATGACAACACATTACTTGGTGCTTGTTTCTGGTTAGAAGTAATAACGATGGAATCACTTTGCTTTTAGAAAACACACACCTCCACAGATCTACCGCGGCTGAGACTGCAGCTAAATGAGAGCTGGAGATCTTAACAAGCTGTTGAATCTGGCTGATGGCCACAACAACAGAGCTGACAGCTCCAACAATATAAAAATCTGAAGCAATTCCAAGCAAAATGGACTATTGTAAAACATCTAGGCAGATGAAAACGGACGTGGAAACATCAAGCCAGAAACTCTGAGCAGTACGGCTGGAAAATGGGAAATGCACAGCAAAAGAAAATCACAAATGGGCAGAAACAGGAGTGTTTGTCAAGGTTCCAATGGGCTAAAGGAAAACTGTAATGGATTGTGGATGATTGGCTGAAAGTGGGATTCAGTGAGGAAATCCAAATCTCTATTGGCTAAGAATAAGATGCTGGACCATTTGTCTGGTGCCATCCCAGTGAAACATGCAAAAATGACAGCCTGAAGAAAACGAGTAAATCGCTACAGTGTAGGGATGAAGTTAGCTTTGGTGGAGAAGGCAGTGAGGTTAAAACCTTTCTATAGGACACACAGATTAACTGAATGAGATAGCCAGCATCTCTAGGCCTGTCGCAATAAATCAATTATATAATGATAAATTAACACTAGCTCAATTATTTCCACTTGTATTATTTTCTTGTTTCTCCCTCTTTCTACCAGAAACTGGATGACTGAAGTCTTCACTCTGGTGCTTTGGTCTCAACTAGCCCTTGTTTGTTTACAGAGACGTCCTAATTAATTTTAGTTGTTGTGTCTGTTGTTTAGTTTATTTATTTTGGATATTTAAAAAGTCTTTCAGTTAAAAGTTCATTAGAATTTAAAGTTTACCGATCTTTGAGAGTGCGTTCTTGCATTATTATGCCAGCAACCGCTGAAAATTATTTAAAAACAACATTATCGTTCATTGCAATAACTTCTGGGACAATTTATTGGCCTCAGCATCTCATTTAAAGTGTAATGTGAAAAAGCCCAGACTCATTGGGTTCTTCTGGAGATCTCTTCTCGTAAAAATGGAGTTTCTCTGCTCTACTGTTGCCACACGCTTTTAAACAACTGGGATTCTATTCTAACATTAACTTCATTAATTTATACCTAGGACTGGATCACAATGGTTGTAACTGAATATTGACCTGATTATATTTTTCTGCAGAGTGCCTGGAGATCACATTTGTCGAAAATTAGCTCGACAAAATGGAGCGATTCAACAGTTGAATTTAATTAGAGTTCATCCCTGAAAAAATTTAAAAAAAAAAAAAAAAAAAAAATGAAAACCAGATGAGGCAAAGCTCTAGTTGTGATGTTTACATACAATGCGGTGTGGAGCGATTGCATCAGTTTTTCCTTCATTTGATCTAAAAATGAAGCACCAGTGATTACAAGAATGTCATCCAATGTTTTTGAGGCTTGTTTTGCAAAGCACCAATGTTAAGCTGCTAAATAAAACAGCTTTGTCTCCAATTTAATTTTTATAAACTGGCAGTATCATGAGCTAAACGCTGGTGGAGAAGGTCTGGCAGAGATGAGGGAGGTATGCATTTCTGCCAGCTCTTTAAATTCCCCAACACTTTTAAAAGACAGAGTGCTATGGTTAAAAATAGCTTTGTCTTTGATTTAATGAGCGCTATCACTTTTCTGTAACACAGTTTGAGGAGGCCTGCTGCACTGTCATGTAAAGGCTGTGTGTGTGTTTTGGCCTCTGGCCTTGAATCCCAGTGGTCAGTAACAATCAGCAGATGATGACAGGGTGTTAATTAGGACAGCTAAAAATAAACAGGCAGGTTTAAAACAACTGAGGAACAACACAAGGCTTTATGTGGACCAAAACTTCCCACTAGGAAACAATTTAAAGCTGAAAGCAACACAATCTATTACTTAAAAAAAGAAAAAAAAACTGAGATAGAAACCATGCTACCAGCACTGAGAAAGAAGACTTAATTAAACATAAAAAAAGTGTGTTTAGATACGTATCAGAGTTCAAAAGAAGGCAGAGGATATATTTTTATCTATCTACAAGTCACATCTGTGAATGGAAAGCAATGACATGTTGACAACTTCAGCTCCAAGTTTTATATTTGATTGCTTCACCTTCTACGAGCCTCTTCCACTTCATATTCCAACATGTCAACAGAACAGCATGTTTCTCAGGATAAAGAATGAAATTTCTCTTTAAAAGATTTCTCACAACGTGGATCTATTTGGAGCTGAAAGAGGATGCTGACATGTGGAAAGCACTCTATTACCCAAACATGTCAGGGCTCAGTAAAACACTGAAGGGGAAATGGAGGCAAGGGCTGAAGCAAAGGAAAATCAAAGACGCAAAAGTGAGAAAGGAAAAGAAAGGAAGAAGGCACTGATGGAGTGTGAAAAGGGGTGAAGGGTGGAGAGCAAATGAGTCATGTTAGGAGACATTGAAAGAATGGGGCTTGGAAAAATGAGTAAAGGAAAACAAGAAGGATAAAGCACAAGAAGACAGAGTATCCAAGACGGCAGGAAGTAAAACAACAGAATAACAGAACAAAGGCTGAAAGTTGCCACATATCTATTCCAAAGCAAAACTTGACCTGAAACACGACACAGACGGGGCGTGAAACTGAATCCACCGACTTTTAGAGGAAGAACAAAAGCCAAACGTATATTTAGGTGAAGACGACGTACACATCATCTTCAGCAGTGGATTCTCATCATACAGCAAAAGACAGGACTGACAACCATAAATGCCTTTTCTTTTTCAAAGTCCAGAGTTTCCAGTTACTGAAATAAAAATTCATCCCATCTAGATCGCCTGTTCAATTCAGTTTATGTACATTGCCCCGATTTACAACAAATGTCCAAAAGGAGTCATTACATTTTAATCACACATACATTTCAGCTATTCTTACAGCAATAAACTCTATTCTTTATTCAGATCAGACAGTTTCTATCTAATGAAACTCAGCAGATTTCATTAAGTTATTGCCTTGCAGCGTTCGCTCCATTTGGACAAGAACGTAGCAACACTAGACACTCGCTCATATTGTGTCATTGACTTTACAGGAATCTCTCAAACCGGCCATGCATGTAGCCACAGTGGAGAGGAAAAGCTTCCCTTTAACAGGAAGAATTCTCCAGCAGAACCAGAACCTGGCTCAGCGGAACCAGAACTTGGCTCAGTACGAGTTTCCATCTGCCCACAACCGACTGGAGGTTTCAGACCGACTGGAGGTTTCAGAATATCAAAATAAATACTGCAGGTCAGAAACTCCAACCAGTACATTTTGTCCTTCGGTCTAATTTCACATATGGCCATTTTGTAATTTTCATATAACCTGTTAGGATGAAATTCTACATGCAAAAACGGAATAGTTCCTCCAATTTTGCCTTGGAAAATTAAACATTACCCAATTAGAAACATAAATAAATACAGCAATCATAAATTAAATGAATAATAAAGAGTTTCACACATCACATATCAGCTTGCTTTAATCTCTGATTACATGACATACCGACTGTACGAGTTGTGATGCTCATGGTGTTAACATTTTTGACATATTTCAAAAAAAAGAAAAGAAAAGAAAAAAGTAGCAGCAGCCTGATTTAGCAGGTGATCAAACGGTGTTTGCTCCAATATCAGTTTTTTTGAAAGGCGCTTCTGGAACATTATTCACTATATAACTGTGTCTTCATGGGGATTTTCACCGTCAGCCACTGAAACTCAAGGCGGGTATGTGATAGTGTGGCAGCAGTGTAACAGTGTGAACCCAACAGGATTTTGTTCTTTAAATCATACAGACTCCAGCTGTGCACCTTACATCTCAACCCTTTCATCTGGTTAAAGGTGGTTTTATTTTTTAAAGCATTGTGGCGAATGACCGAAGCAACGAGATCTCTCTGTTTAGGAACAAAGAGGTGGCAGAGATGGAGCGCTACATTTACTTTAAATATGCCACAAATTATGGTGCCTTTCATGAATATTTATGACTGTTGTCATAAAGCGTCATTCGGTAAATTATGACACTTTTAATACAAAGTTGACATTATTCAAAATGTCTTTGTTATGACAACTTGACATTAACCAAGAAATCATTACTGATTAAACTTTACCTTTAATAACATAAAGTTACCTAATTTTTAAAGTGCAATCAGTAATTATTTTATAACAAATTTATATCAGTAATGATTTCTTGGTTAATGTCAAGTTGTCACAACAAAGACATTTGGAATAATGTCAACTTTGTATTAAAAGTGTCATAATTTACCGAATGACGCTTTATGACAAGAGTCATAAATATTCATGAAGGCTTATTCATGTTCATGACAGGTGTTATGTCATGTTTATGAAAGTGTCATGACAGTCTTATTCAACCCCCTTCAAATAAAGTGTTACCAAATATTTTATAAACCGATAATCATTTTCCATTCTTAGTCACTTAAATCTCATTGACTTAAATGTGTGGATTAAGGATTAAGGCCACTGAAAAAAAAGAATTATGACTTTAGTCTCAGATTCCTGTCTATTGGTATCAGAAGATTTAAGTCAGAACAGTGAGGAAAAAAAGTCACAACCCTGAAAAAAAGTCAATATTCTGAGACCAAAAGTCAGAATTCTGAAAAAAAAATTCAGAATCCCGAGATAAAAGTCAGAATTCTGAGATTAAGTTCAGTTCTCATAATTCTCAGTTTAGTCCCAGAATTCTGACTTTTATCTTAGAATTCTGAAAAAAAGTCAGAATTCTGAAAAAAGTCACAATTCTGAAATAAAATTCATAATTCTGAAAAAAAGTCAGAATTATCTTTCCTAATCATCTTCCATAGAAATGAGAGTAGTCTTTTATTTTAACTTTTTTATTCTCTTGCATTTTTATTCTTTTACTTGTGCGCCAAGTAAAAGGATAGGCCATCTACATAATGTGACTGCTCCTAAGACTTATTTGATTAAAGAGGACCAAGAACAGAGGAGAAACAAGGAGACCAGTTACAAACAAAGCCTTTTGCCAAACCACCAACTTCTCTCCTTGCAGGATCTCCTTGCTAAGAGCTGAAACTAAAGTGATGCTTTGCTGTTCATCTGAGCTGACAAGCAGTCGATGGGGCTTGATTTTGTGTGAAAACAGGTCAAGACAAGAGGAAGAAAGGGAGTGACAGCGAAGGAGAAAGGAATCAGGAAAAAAGCAAGATGACAGCATCTTATTTCAAGGCTCCTTCTCATAGTCCTGACAAAGTCAATTACATGTTTGTTTTACTCTGCTGAGTAAAATGTGGCCATTGCAGACAAATGTAAGCCAAAAAATGGACAGAGAAGAATCTGATATTTAAAATGAGCTGACAGCACAGTACAAAAAAAGGGGTAAAAAGAAAGGGTGAAAAGATTTATCCCCTCTTACCTATGCCTGAAATCTTTGTTTCTTTAACACAGTGCAAGCAAAGGCAAGGAAACACAGAAGAGACATGAGTTAGTCGACAGCTTGATTGATTGACTTACAAGAGAAATCACTGAGAAACAGACAACACAACAGACTGAAATCATGCTTCATAGAAATCATTAGAAGAAAGATTTCAGATGAATGTTAGGGTTTGAGATCTAAGAAACAAACACTCAACACAAAGCGTGAGCATGGATCATCTGAACCGCACAAACATGGATGAAGCCGTGGATTTGGAAGCGTTTGACTTTAAACTCCTGCAGTTAGAGCTTTCTTTGTAGGATACTGAGGTGGAGTTTGCCCTGTTTCAAGGAGCCGGGAAGAACCAGCGATCCTCCCTCCGTCGTTACCTGAGCTCCATGACGCTGCTAACGTTCCCAGAGGGGAAGATCCTCCTGATGTAGTTGAAGTCCCCGACAAAAATGCTGCCATCCGCTCCGCAAGCGAGGGCCAGAGGCGCCAGCAGCTTGTTGCCCTCCGCCTGGCCGTTACAGCTGGGGCAGGAGATGCTGCGCCGCCGACCGTTTCCTGAGATTCACAGTCAGTTTTAGTCAGTGAATTATTTAGTTTTACCAGAGAAATCATTCAAGTCATCAACAAATACTGTTCTGTTAATTTTCTTTTCTTTTTTGTTTAACTGAGTTGATCTAAAGTTTATTTATCAAATCAATCAACTAAAAATTAAATGATAAGCGGCTATTTTCTTATGTCAAGATGGCCGACCGTCTTTCCATAGCTGCTAACGCTGCCCTGTCGTGCAGCACTTCGGCTAAATGAGCGCTGTTGAGGTGAAACTTAACGATCTCGTCGAGGGATTATATTTGAAAACAGAACCGAATAAAATGCAATTTACATCCCACACCAGACTTTGTTTGAACTGTTTTTCTTTTCCACTTAGGGCCACCATATCGATTCCTGTATCAGCTGGCTCCGTGCAAAAATTACCTGCGGTGGCCTCTTCTGGATGGAGGCCAAACTGCTACTCTAAAAGAACGATATTAGTTTAACCGATTGGAACTAATTTTAACATAACAAACCATTAAGCAACAATTAACCGTGAGTAGATCGTCTACATCTCTAATTTGAATATTCCAGAGCGTCAAACATTTTAATGCAAGATAAAAGCCCTGATATTGTAATTATGAAAATTAAATTTGATTAATTTAGATTTAGAGAAAATTCTTGTTTTTCGATATAAAGTTTGTACACTTGGATGAGGTGATTTTTTTTTTTTTTTTTTTGGCTTTTTAAAAATTTTAAAAAAACCCAAGGGGGGCCTTTTTTTCCTATTTCTAAATT